ATAATAATAATAATAATAATATCTCTCTCCTGTTTTTTGTTATGTTCTGTTTTGGTTTTTTACTCTGCTACTGCCCTGATTCGAGCAGCTCTTGCCCATTGCTACTCACTGATCTCTGGGCTTGTATCAGATGCATCCCCCATACTGAGACAAAACACACGTCTATGTCACTTCCCTGCAGAAAATCCACCAAAGCCTTCTCACTAATCTTCTAGATGACATTCAAGCTTCTCGGCTAGCACTACACAGCCTCTTGTGACTTGCACTATACTTGTCTGTGATGGGGCCCCCTACACACCATGCACAAGCAATTTTATACATCATGCCTTTGAAACCACTGTCCTTTCTGCCTGGAGTGCTGCCCCCAACCTGCTTTCTTCTTTTTCCTCTTCTTCCTTTTCTTCCTCTTCCTCCTCTTCCTCCTCCTCCTCCTCCTCTCTTCCTCCTCCTCCCCCTTCTCCTCCTTCTTCTCCTCCTACTCCTTCTCCTCCTCCTACTCCTCCTTCTTCTCTTCCTCGTCCTCTTTCCTCTTGTTCTTCCTCTTCTTCTTCTTTCCCCCACCTTCACTTTTACTATGTTTTGCAAACTCCAGCTGACTCTCCAATGCAACTCAGTCTGTGCTCTTTCTGGAAACTCCTCTGGTTCACCTGGTTTCCTGGACTCTCCTGAGCCCCTGAAGCCTCCAGGCTGGACCCATCCCTCCTTGTCACACTCAACCACCCTGTACTGGGGTCACTGTTGGCCTCTCCCAGATGCCACACTCCTGCTCCTGTAAGGAGGTACAGGCTGTCTGGCGAGACTAGAGTGCCTGAAACTTCTAACGTGTCCCATTAACATCAGCTAACAAATTAACCACCTTCTGGGAAGCAAGAAAAGTATAAAATTAAACTTCAGCTGAAATAAAAACCGTACCCACGTGGATGGTTGGACTCCACATATTAATGATAAGTTATTCCGCATCTGGTCTAATGTTTATCTTAATTTAACCAGCCCCTCCCACTAAAGGTGTACCAATTAGCAGCAGAAGGGTACTGGAGCAGCGCTTAAGATCTATGAAAGCCAACTGTTTCTGAGCACCCTACAGAACTCCAGAAATGCCTATTTACATAGAAATAATTGAAAATCATTCTGATAGCTTCAGTAACTTAATCCCCAAAGTCCTGGATCAGGCAACAATTTTTAGCCTAGTTGGAGCTAAAATATGTACTTGAATGTAATAAAAGTACATTTATTTTAAAATATTCTATAATTCAGATTGGCCTCCGCGCCCCTCCCCTGCAATTAGTAGGAATTAGTGAAGTTTCACCATACCTCCAGCCACGAACAGCTTGCCCAGGCGGCCGAGGTTCACCTATAATCTCTTAATTAGACGCATCCCTCAGAACCTTCACACCATCCTTCAAGGCAATGTTGACAGCCTGTCAGCCACAGAGGGACAACCCCAGAGCTCCACACCTACAATTGCATGGATTTCCTATGGAAATGGCTTCTGCAGCCGCAGTTAGTCAATTTAATAACCTTATTAAACACTTTAATGACTTCTCGGGCCTAATGACTATATCTAGTATGAGAGAAAACACCAGGCAGAGTGGAATTAAAAATTTAAACTAGCTGATCCTTCCTGTTCTCCCTGTGAAAACCAACTTTAAAGGAATGAGAGTCCTAGCCTCTGGGAAAATCTCATTCCTGGGTTTTCTGTAGCTACCCACTCTGGTTTCAGTGGACCCTATTTCTCCATGAGCCCCAACCCAGACCTACCGCATAGCTATTTCTAGCTCCACCCCTTGTCTCTGATATGAGATGAAATCAACTCACAAATCACTGTACGTGTGCAGCACACTGGTGTGTGCCGGGCACTGTGCTGTTTCACATATTTTCCTTTAATCTTTACAACAATCCTCAGAACAAGGTAACCTTTTCACATCAACTTTACAGATAAGAAAAATGAGGCCTCTAAAGCAACTGGCCTGAAGTCAACTGATCAGTAAAATGGAGCTGGGTTTCAGGCTCAGGTCTGCCTTGTTCAGAGCCCATACTTGCAAATGTGTGCTCTCTGGTGGATCTCTTAGCAATGGTGACTACAACACAAAGTCAGTTTTACTACAGTTGCATTATTTTGGAGGGAGGAAATTACCTACTTGGCTTTGAGGTAAAGTACCAGTTAAAGCAAAGGACTTCCCTGAGACTACGTCCCTCCCATTCAGGATACCACACTGCAGTCCTGATATCTCTGAGGCACCTCTAGGCGTGACACTACCTCAGACTTCTCTTGTCTTTGATGACCTGGATCATTCTAAAGAGAACTAGTCAGGTGTTCGCTAAAATGGTCCCGTGAGGATGTGGCTGGTGTTTGTCTCAGGATTAGACTGTAGTTCTAAGGGCCTGGAAGGAAGACCCTAGGTGCCACTTGGGATATCCCATCAGGGGCCAGCTTTCCCACAACTTTGTACTTCTGGCCTTAAGTCTGTCTGATCAGTAAGCTGAGGTAGTACTTGTGACATTTCTCCACTATAAAAAAGTTACTCTTTTTCATTTCTTAACAAATATGGAAATACATTTATGTTCACTAATTTTCTTAAGCCACTTCTAATTTAACCATCATTTGCAAATGTATCTTGAAATCTATCAGAACATGAAGCTAGGAGAGTCAGATACTAAACTATAAATTCTAAGATTTCAATTTTCTGAAAATGATATACATGTGCATATAGAAAAAGACTAGAGGGAAAGAGCCCACATTTTATTCTTTCCTTAATATTTTCCCAAAAATGTTCTGCAGTAAAAATAAATCTTTTAAATCTAGAAGAAGGAAAAAGAGTGGGCTGGGGACATAGGAGTGAGGGGGTGGAGTTTTGCTTTGAGGCCTGCTCAGAAAAAAACAGCCCCTGGGTAAGTGTAACACAAATGCTACGCTCGGAGGAGGGCAGCATTCTCTGAAACCTGCTGCATGTTCTGGGGTTTTCCCAGCGGCTTTTCTTTCCTTACAGAAGAATGTAAATTCCCTCCTATAAAAACTATGCTTTTTTAAAAAATAGGAAAAGTTAATAACTGAGTATAACATCAGAAACTGAGAACAAGAAAAAGAAAGAGGGGGAAGAATAAAAAGAACAAATTGAGACCTTAGGGAATAGGGAGCAGTTCTTTAGCTTTTAGTCTGTTCTGGTTCTGTGTGTGAAGTGTGTACCAAGCACAAGGCATCACCCATGCTTAGCAGGTGCTCTACTACTGGGCTATGCTCAAGTCCCTGAAAGAGTGTTCTTCTGCCTTACTGTCTCCTTTCAAAGTTCTGTAGAGATGTTCACTGCTTCCAGTCCAGTGAGTTTCAATCAGTATTCCAGTGTAGCTCAGTGGTAGAGCATTTGCATAATGTATCTGGATTTGATCCCAACACTGCAAAACCAAAAACAAAAAGCCCCATGCTTTCCTAGACCAAGTCAGAAACTGTGAGCATCAGCCAGCAGAACAGCGCACTGCTATTACCCCTGGAGGCCACTCGTCTAGAATGGCAACGCGTCCCTCCCATCTCCCCTGGAGCACCCTGTCCTCTTCCTTAGAGGCAGGATGCATTCTGGGCCATGTGTGCCTGCGCTATGGGAGTTCTCTGCCAAGAGACTGATGGATTTATTGTCACTCTGGTACCCAGGTAGTTGCCTGGGAGTTGCTATTATCTCCCGTACAGGGTATGTACATTTGGAAGGGGGAAAAAAGATTCTTATTCCCAGAAGGATAAATCTCTAAAAGAAGATGTGGCCAGCAAAGGCCAGAAGAACAGGGGAAGCTCACCCCTATAAATATAGATACAAACAAAAGGGGCTCACCCACCAAAAGAGGCTCTAGTTACACCAAGAGCCAGGGAACAAGCCCGCCTTTACAGCGGAGCAGCGACCCTGAGGCTCAGGGCCCGGATGTCAGGCTCCAAGCACAGCCCACGTCCTGCAGGTGCAAGCTGCTTATTCACACACTGCAGAAGACAAGTTTCAGTGGGGCTGGAAACAAGGGTCCTTAGTGTTACGAGAAATAAAACTGCTCATTCTGGACATTAAAATAGAAAAAGAGCAAAAATGCCTGACTCCACAGAAGACACTGACTAAACTGTGTTTCCTGTCACAGCCACCTGCCTTTCCATTTGGATTCGGGGTTCTGTCTCATTAAACACAAAAGTTGATTCAGTTCGGTCCATCTAATTATTCTTATTAAATATGTAACCATAATATTTTAATTGTAAATTAAAGTTGCATGCATGAATGAATCTGAATTCATTTTAATCTTACAATGGCCCGATGCCAAAGCCTTTTTATGGAGAAGATCCATCAGCCTGGGTACTGCTCTCCCGGGAATTCAAACCAATATGCAAATGGAACGTGTTTAACTAACAAGGGAGACTCCTGTTCCTTTTTCTCCTCTTGCTAGATTTATTGTAGTAATAAAGCTGTTTTAACAAGAAATGTTGAATTTCCAAATATTAGAAAAAACTGTCCAACTTTTAGGAGGCTAGCTCAGAAAAAAACAGCCCTTGGGTAACTGTAACTGTAACCGGCACCACCGGTTTTGCAGAACCAGCATGTCGGTCCAGGCCATCTGAATCCTGCACAAAGATGGGCAGTAGGTCTTAAATCACATGCCCATCTCATGACTAGTTAGCACTGCCTGCTGCCTCCATGTGGAAAGCAGTTACACAAACAATGCACCTTGGTCTACATTCTAAAACAATCAGTGACGCTGCACTTGACCCTCACTTGCATGATTAGGTAAAATCAGATTTATTTTCTGTTAGCCAGCAACCAGCCACTAGGCCATGGAAAGGCTCCATAAAACTGCCCCATCCTAACTGGCACTGCCACAGTATTTAAGGGAAGCAAGGACATAAAAGTCCCTTTAATAAGTGAGGCTGTAGAAAGCCTCTCTTGATTCTACACTGAGACCTACAGAGGAGGAGGCATTAGCCAAGTGACACAGGGTGAGAAGGCTGCAGCAGAACGTGATGGCAGTGGGGAGTGTCCCGGGGACTAGAGAGCACAGAGCACTCAGGGCACTACAGGAGGTCAGAGTGAGAAGCGCCCTGCTGTAGCGCCAGGGAGCAAGAGGAAGCCTGGAGAGAGAACCAGGTTTGAGTCCTGCAGGGCCCCAGCAGCCAGATGAAGGAGTTGTGACGCAGTCCTGAGAGCAGTGATAAAAAGGAATACCATTCTGGGTGTAGACATTGGACAGAGAAGGCACAGGCAGCCGTGTAGCAGAGCACATCCAGGATGAACTGCGCATGCTGTGTTTACATCTTGCTGACTGAGACGAACATAAATTTTTCAACATTAAACTTGTATTTGCAGTATTTTTTTTCCTTTTACATAGGAGAAGAAACCTAAAATTATTTAATGCTAAAATATCATTCAATAAATTTTTTATAAGAAAGGACATGTTTCAAAGTCAATATATGCTTTCTGCTCATTAAAATTAGAGTCTACTTTTTGGTCATTAAAATGAATTTATAATAAATCAAGCGGGGCTGGGGGGATAGCTCAGTAGAATAAATGCTTGCCTGGCAAGAGCAAGGTCCTGAGTTCAATCCCCAGTACCGCAAAAAATAAATAAATAAATAAATAAATAAATAAATAAAGCTATTAAACCAAATAACAAAGAGAGCTGCTTTTTTTCTCAGTACTAGGTACTGGGGATTAAACACAGGGATTTCACACTGAACTACATCCCCAACCTTTTTTATTTTTCATCTTGAGGCAGGATCTCACTAGCTTGCTGAGTTGCACAGGCTGGGCTTAAACTTGTGATCCTCCTGCCTCAGCTTCCCAGTGCTGGCCTTGCAGACCTGGCTAAATGCTAGAAAAAAACCTTTGCTTGTTGCTTTCAGGGGAAGCCATCCCATCTCCACCTTCCAAGAGGAAAACTTTTACCTGCGATTTAGGAATAGTGCTGGGTGGGGCCCCACCCTGGAGAGGCAGGCCCACTCAGCTGAGTAGTGAAGAATTTGCCCTACTCACAGGGAGGGCTGGACTTTGCCTGTGGTGACAGGGCAGCTGGGTCTCTAGATGTGGAACATCCTGCCTGAGTAGCCTCGTCCCTGAGCCCCTGGGCACTGGACAGCCTGACAAGACTCTCCTGGGACTTTGGGCAACACTGTGTCTATCCTGGCCACCAGAGGAAATGAGCATTAAAGTTACAATCAGTTAGCTGTGCCTTCCACAGCTGCATATTCCACATCCACACTGAAAATATTGGGATGAGAAAAACTGACCTCTGAACTAAACATGTACAGATTTTTCTTTCTGCTCCTTCTTCTGTAGACAACACAATATAACAACTATGTATATAACATTTGCATTGCATTTGGGCATCAAACTGTGCAGGCTTATGCCTACTGTGCCTTTTTACATGAAGGACTTCAGCATCTGCAGATTTGGGTATCCACGGGTGGCTCCCGGAACCCATCCTCTGTGGATGCCAATGAGCCACTATGCTAGCTGAGCCCACAAAAGGAAGCCCAGGAAGTTAGGTTGGGGGGCTGTAGTCAGAACAGCACAGCCGTTCCCAAATTGTGTGAAAGATCCCAGAGGCCTGGGAGACAACAAGCAGGGCAAACACGCTCTCGGCAGTTTGCCCCGGATGTCACCCAAAAGTGGGAAAACTCAAGAAGGGGTCAGGGGAAGATAAAGCAGAGCGGCGGGAGCAGATCCAAGGCAAAGGGTGGGAGGCAGGGCCTAGGAAAACAGGAGTCACAAGAAGAGATGCTTGTTTTGTTTTGTTTTGTTGGCAGAGAGGTGCTGGAAATCAAACTCATGACCTTGCACTCGACAGGCAGGTGCTTGTGCCACTGAGCTACATTCTAGGCCTAAGGCACCTCCGACAAAGAGCAGGTGGCACCATGCCCTCCAGCTTTGTCACTGTTTTCAACCAAACAGTGAAGGCCACAGATGCGCCCATGAAAGAGGGATTGTGCCCAAGGGAGGGTACTTAATTCTTCCTGCAGCTCTCTCCTGTACACCATGAGTTTACGGTTAGTGAAAGAATCGGTGAACCCGTGGTAAATCCAAATGCATGGGGGATTTATACCCAGATTTGTGATGACATACCTCTTTTTGTTGTTCTGGAAACATCTTCAGCACAGGATCCAATCAATCTGAAAAAGAAGATGGCAGCACTGGGTGACTTGGGATCTCCCCAGCGGAGTGGCTAAACATCTCACTGCCCCCGCAGCCCTCGGCCCGTGGATCTCTTCTCCTCCCTTGCTGTCTTCTGCAGCTGACCTGACCATAGTGAGCATCAGTCTGCACTGGAGACAGAGTGAAGATCACTGCGCATCTAAGGCAGCTGGATGCTCACAGGCCCTTGAACTGCAGAGCCAGGCAGGCAGGCTGGGGCTGGGGCTCAAGAAATCAGAGGAGACCTTGAGCTGTGACCTGCCAGTCAGTACAGCCAGCCTGTCATTTGATTCCAGGCCCTGCAAGTCCCTGGGGCTGTCCATTGCTCTTTATACTCCATTTATTAGACATACATTGGAGTTAAAATATGATCCCTGCTAAACAAACAAACATACATACATAATACATAAAATTCCCTGCTATATGCACACACATATATTCTTACAACCTAATTATGACTGTGGCCTATTTGCCCTTATTTTACTAAGTCCAAACACATGCCTTGGATACTTACTAGCATTCAGAAATATTTCCAAAGTCAATAGTAAATGTCTGTGGCAGTACAGAGAACACAGGAAATAAAACACAAGCTGCAACCTCCGGCCCCTACAGAATCATCAGGAAGATAACCCGCAGCTGCCCCCAAAGAGGATTTCTGCAGAGGGTGAGGGGACCACGCTGTGAGCAGCAGGCAGGCGGGTTTCCAAGGGGCAGCTCCCTCCACAAGGAGGGGCTGGGGCTTCCCAGAGAAGGCAGGGGAGGATGGGGGCATCTCGGCATTCAGGAAGAAGAGTACTTCTGGGGTAACAGATGCGTGACAATGACAGGCACAAAGGACAAAAGGTTGATAAATAGTGCAGAGATGCCAGATCAACTAAGGGACAGAGTTTTGGAAGGTGTGGCTGAATCATGGCAGCCAAAAAGACATGTCCATATTCACTTCCTGGGACCTGTGGGAACTTAGAGCCACTTCCTGCCTCTCCCCTCACCCCCCCCCGCCACCATGGAAAGGGGGACTTTGGAAATGTAATTAAAGATCTCCAAATGGGATGATCCTAGAATATGGAGTAGACCCTGTGACCAGAATCTGTATTTTTTTTTTTTTTTTAATTTAGGACAGGGTATACAGGGTGTTCAGGGTCTCACTGCATAGATCAACTCATTGTGATTTGCCTGTTTACAACCTCCCAAGAGCTGGGATTACAGGCACGGGCCACCATGCCCAGTTTCAATTGTTGTCTCACCATGCCCTGGGTGCAGGGCCAGCATGGCAGTCCCGGGATCGAACTCCCAGCCCCTGCATCTGCCTAAGCAGGCACTTTAATCCGCTGAGCTATTTGGCTGGTTCCAGAGTCTCTATTTTAATAAAAGGAAAGAACACCATGGAGGCAGAGAAGGAGTGATGAGCCACTCACCACAGGACACAAGAAACTAGAAGAGGGCAGGCAGGATCCTCCCCAAGAGCCTCCAGGGGAATGGGGCCCGGCCGACACTTTGATATTGGGCCATGCATCTCTAGAACAGTGACAGAGTAAGTTTTGTTGTTTTAAAAGCCAAGCTGACAGTAATACAGGAGGAAGCTCATACAAAAGGAATCTGTGGGGAGCAAGCTAAAAGGACAGGCTGGGGTTGCAGCAAGGGATGGGGGAAGCTCTGTGCGCACTGATGCATTCCACCCGCCAGTGCTGACGGAGCTCCTTCAAGGAGTCACGTGCTGAGGGCCTGTGAGGGTCACACGGGTCACCCTTTGGGAAACAGGGTGGACTCAGAGCTTCAGAGCTGACTTCACAACGGCAGCATGGGGATGATATGAAAGCACAGGATGACTAAGCGCCTGCTTAGGCAAGCGCAGGGACGAGGTTCAATCCCCTGTACCAGACTCGGCCCCTGGTGCATTAAACTGGCCACCGAGACTGGTGTAGTAGAGCACACCTGTAATCCCAGCTCTGCGGAGGCTGAAACAGGAGGATCACTAGGAATCCAACCTGCGTAGTGAGACCCTGTACCAAATACAAGAAAGACAGAAAGACAGACAGAAAGACAGACAGACAGACAGACAGACAAGACAGACAGACAGACAGACAGACAGACAGACAGACGCACAAGGCACCCTGTGACAAGAATGGAAGAACACACAATGGCAATGAGTCTTGAAGCCATTGTACCAACTGAAGTAAGACAGTCACAAAAAACAAACACCACACTAAGCACCTACAGTAGTCAAATCTAGAGACAGAGGAGAATGGTGGCTTCTAAAGGTGGAAGGAGATGGGGAATGGAAAGTTGTGGTAATAGTTTCACTTCTACAAGAACAGAGTTCTAGAGACTCACTGTACAACGTGAATGTACCTAAAATTAGTCAACTGTATACCCATGCACAGTTAAGATGATTTTATGTCACGTGTGTTTTATCACAACCTTTTTTAAAAAATTAAAGAATGGAAGTACTCAAGAGGAAGGAGGCTTTACGAAGAAAGCAGCACTGAAGGTGCAGCCAGATGGACAGTGTCCTAGTCCACAAAGCAAAAGGAGGAGACACAATAGGCTGAGTGGCTGGCATGAGCAGGGGCAGAGGCTGGAAGGAGCAGCTTGGGCGCCCCAACACCAAGCCCTGCACCAGGCCAAAGCTGCAAGGTGGGTCCCATGTTCCTAGGGTCTGTGCTCCCTACAAAGTACATGTTGCACATTGCTGAGCCTCTGCCCAACCAGACCCTGTCACTCTCCACTGTGAGACAGTCGAGCCTAGGCAAAGTGTCAGTCACTGTGCTCCTTTCCTACCACAGTTCTGCCTCCAAAGAGGGCGATTGCTACAGTTTAGATCTGAAGTTTCCCCCAAAGGCCCTTATGCTGAGAGCTTGGTCCCCAGCCCACAGCATGGGGGAAAGGGGTTTGGAATCTTTAGGAGGTAGTGTCAAGTAAATTAGGTTACTGGTAGGGAGTGTGCTCTTCAGGAGATACTAGGACTCTGGTCCCTCCTCTTCCCTTCTCTCACTCTTTCACTTTCCAACCACCAAGAAGTGGGCACCATCCTCCACCACATAATCTCTGCCATGCTGTGTGGCATTGCCACAGGCCCAAAAGCAACAAAGCCACCTTATGATAGACTGAAACCACAAGCCAAAATAAACATTCCCCTTTGTGAGTGGTTTATTTTCTGTTATTCCATCCTAGTGACAGAGAGCTGAGTAGCTCTATTCTACAAAAAAAAAAAGTTGCAGGCAACAGTCATGGTACTTCTGGGGGGCAGGGTGTAAGGCAGGAGCCCCAAGGAACACTGTGGAGAGAGAACCCAAGTAGGGGGGTCAACTGGACAAACTGGGATGGTCTCAGGAGTACCTAAGAAAGTGGGATGAGACAGGTGGCTGATTCCTGGGACAGCTAGGAGTTGATCTGAGGTCCTCAGAAGTGTACCACCACCCTCCAAGAAGAAAATCTCCCTTGCATCCAGAGCGAGAGCTCTAAGAGCTTGCTTAGAGCTGTCATGGACTGTGGGAGATGGGAACCAAACACTACTGGTAGGAGTGTGAGCAGTTCTAGCACTGCTGAAAGATAATTCTGCTGTGCGTCTCAAAAGCATTGTGAAATTATTTAAGGTCTGTAACTCAATAATTTGATCTCTGAAAACTCACTCTAAAAAAAATCAATGCAATAATGAATATGACCATTATGTACTGCAAATATGTACTGATAAAAAATTTAAAATTAGTGCAATATGTGCAAAATATTTGTAAATGAAATAATGTCCCCAATGTAATTGTTTTGGAAAAAAAAAGATCAAAGGAGCCAAGAACATGGCACATACCTATCATTCTGATTACTTGGGAGACTGAAGCAGGAGGATCAGAAATTTGACACAAGCCTAGGAAACTTAGCAAGATCCTTTCTCAAAATAAAGAATAAAGGCCAGGCATGGTAGCACATGCCTATAATCCTAGCTAGCACTTGGCAGGCTGAGGAAGGAGGATTGCCATGAGTTCCAGGCCAGCTGAGCTGCAGAGTAAAACTCTGCCTCAAAAAAACAAAAAAACTAAAAAGGGCTGAGGGTTTAGCTCAGTTGCAGATCACTTGCTTACCATGCATGGGACCTGGTTCAATCCTTAGTACCACCACCAAAAAGAGAGAGAGAAAAAAAAAGTAAAATAAAATGGAATCTAGGGGCTTGCTGGTTAGCTCAGTTGTTAAAGTGCCTCCTTGGGCAAACCCAGCCAGGCGTAGGGAACCACAGTTCAATCCCCAGCTCCACATGACATACCAGACCTGTCTTTTAGGCAGCCTGAGCCAGCCAAATAAATAAAACAATAAAAAATAAAATGGAAATCTAAGTGCTCATAAGTAAATTAGAAAAAATGAATTGTGGTGTACTTTATACTAGACTATGTTGTAGCCTTTATAATTAGGTCATAGAAGAATATTAAAGGCTGTTTAATGGGGCCAGGGAGATGGCTCAGTGGACTAAGCACTTCCCTGGCAAGAGCAAGGGCCTGAGTTAAATGCCCAGTTCCGCCAAAAAAAAAAAATAATAATAATAATAATAATATTAAAATAAAATAAAATAAAGGCTGTTTAAGAAGTAGTTAAGTGATTTCTTTGAGGGGAGAGGGTGAACTCAAAGCCTTTGCACTGAGATTCATTCCCAGCCCTTATATTTTCTATTTTGCTACATGATCTCACTAAGTCACTAAATTTCCCTGGCTGAGTTCAAATTTAAAATTCTCCAGCCTCAGCCTCCCACACTGCTGGTATTCCAAGCATGTGCTATCACACTTGGCTGTTAAGTGATTTTTTTTTTTAAGTATCTTTTTATTTCTTTGCTCAGTTATTTAAGAACTGGAACCTATACAAGATGAAGTCATCAGGCCAGTGAGATAGCTCAGTGGACTCAGCACCTGCTTTGGCAAGTGCAGAGACCAAGGTTTGATCCCCAGTCCTGCATGCAGTGCCGGCCCCACCCCTGGGGCAGGTTGAGCCTACAACTGAGTCCACATATGGTGGCACACACCCGTGATCCCAGTGCTGGAGAGGCTGAAACAGGAGGATCACTATAAGTCAGAACTGCATAGTGAGACCCTATACCAAATACACAAAATTTTAAAAAAGAAGAAGAAGCTATCTGTATATAACAGTGATTATATGCAATGGTTATCTGAGTGGCAGAATCATAACTGTTCGTTTACTTCCTTTTCTTCTACACTTCTCCAAGAATACAATCCATTTGTTCCTTCTAAAATCTGAAAAATGTACATTTTTCTGAAAGAAAGTAAAGGGGGCCTACCCCTTAGCTCAGTTCTTTAAGTGGCTGCTTCAACAAAGCAGACAGGCTCAGGTGGCTGTGGTTCGATCCCCAGAACTCAAGCCAGCCAAACCTGCCCTGAAGGCATTCGGAGCAAAAAAAAAAAAAAAATCCTGAAAGTAAAACCTAATATGCTCAATTACTTTCATTGCAAACCCAAAAATAAGTCAGTTTCATTCTTGCTGTTCTCATTTCCTCCTACTTAAAAATCACTGACTTCCTACATTCATGTCTTGAAGACAGTCCATCGGTAAGATGTGCTATAAATTCAAAGCTTTGCAAAGGCTAGTCTTGTTTTTGGATTTAGTTGTTCCTTTGCTGTACTGAGGACTGAGTCAGGTGCATTACATCCCCAGCCCTTTTTATTATTTATTCTGAGATCAAGTCCTACTAACTTTCCCAGGCTGGCCCCACACTTGTCATCTTCCTGTCTCAGCCTCCCAAGGGCTGGGGTTACAGGTGTGCACCCCGCACCCAGCTGGACAAATCGCTGTTGACAGAGGCATCAAAACCACTACAAAAACAGCCTTTCAACAAATGGTGCCTGCACCCCTGAAGAGCCCTATGAACAAGAACTTGAAGTGGACAGCCACATGGAAAAGAAAGAAGCTAGACTTCTACCTTTTACCAAATATAAAATTTAACTTAAAACAGATCGAAGACTTAAGTATCAAAGCAAAAGCTTTAAAACTCATAGGAAAAACAGCAGTAAAACTACATGGCCTTGAATTAAGCAAAGGATTTTTAGACATGAAACCAAAAGCATAAGCAACAAAACAAAAAATAAGCTTCATGAAAAGTTAAAATTTTGGGCTGGGGAGATAGCTAAAGGGAATAAGTGCCTGCCAAGAAAGCCCAAAGTCCCAAGTTCAATCCCCAGTACTACTAAAAAAAAAAAAAAAAATTAAAATTTTGTGTTTAAAAGGACACCACCAGAAAATAAAAAGACAACTTAGAAAATGAGAAAATATCTACAAGTCATATATCAGATAATATGTTTTCATCTAGAATATATAAAGAACTCTTACAACTCAACAATAAAAAGACAATCCAATTCAAAAATGGGCAAACAATGGGGCGTGGTGGCACACACCTATAATCCCAGGCCTAAGGAGGCTGAGACAAGACAACTGATACAAGTTTGAAACCAATCTGGGCTGTGCAATGAGACCCTGTGTCAAAAAACAAGTGCACCAAAGACCCTAAGAGACACTGTGGCAAGGATGATATTCAAATGATCAATAAGCACCTGAAAAGATGATGTAATTAGTCATCAGAAAATGCAAATCACAACTATAAGATACTACTTCTTCCTCCCTAATCAGTTTCAAGTCCCAAAAAAGAAATAGATAATAACAAATGTTGACAAGGACATACAGAAATAGAATGTTTCACTGGATGCAAAAAATGATGACCCACTTGTAGACCAGCCTGGCACTTACTCACATGAATATACACAGAGCTGCCATTTGACTCAGCGACTCCATTCTACATATCTGAGAGGATGAAAATGAGCCCACAAAATCCTGTATGTGAATATTCATACCAACATAATTCATAACAGCAGAAAAGCATGAACAATTCTAAGGCCATCAAGAAGTGCATAAATTATCGTGCTCTCATACAACGAAATACTATTGAATAATAAAAAGACAAGCTGCAACTTGGGTGTACCTTGAAAACCTTGCACCAAGTGAAGGACGCCAGTCACAGAAGTCCACGTATTAGAAGTGCAGTTGCTTAGGGCTGAGCATAAGAGGGAAACTTAGGGGACAGGGAAACTAAAGGTACAGAGTTGTTTCTTCTTGAGGTCATCAAAATATTGTAAAATTCACTCTGACAAGAATTGCATAAAGCTTTAAATATACTAAAAACCATGAGTGTATCATATGATGTGGGTCATACTCCATAAAACTTTTTTTTAAGTGCTACTTGAAACTCTGAGCCTGATTCCATGCATTCATTCACCTGACCTGAGTCCAGGACATCCTCACATGGCCACAGGTGTGACCAAGCTGAAACTCCTCCCGGCAGCCTCTGGGGCTTCCTCAATGCCCCCTGGATCGGGCCCTACCTTTCCTCCTCTGCCAGCTCCTCTGCCAATGCTCTTTCCACTCTGCCTCAGAAGCTCCCCTCAGAGCTGTAAGGCTCAGAGGGACTAAACACTCCCACCCCTGACCTGCTGGCCAGCAGCACTGCGCTCTGCAGGGAACTCAGCTCTCAGCAGGGAACTCAGGTCCTAGTTGTCATGGCAAGCACAGGAAAGGAGATAAGATGGGACAAGAAACTCTGCAGGTTCCAGGAAATCTGGGGACATCTGGAGACACCAGAGAATTTACACTGGACACTTCAAGGACTATGGCCACTAGTTGTAAGACTACCAGAGATCTTTAACCCTAGATGTGCATTGGGATCTTCCTGCGTAATGTCCCTGCCTTCTCTCTAACCCTATAGAAAGGGACACAATTCTCTTTGTTCCTGTTGTGTTGCCTTTACACGCGCCTAGTGGTCTCTGCTGGTTTTCCCCCTCCTCCTGTCTGTTACATATGTTATAAGAGCCAGAAAACACCGCACAACCACTCTCACAGCAATGGCTTAGCTAAGTCTGGCCTTCTTACCACTCCTTCCTTTGTAAGTCTTTGTCCTGCCAAAACCACAGTTGGAGTTGCCCCAAAAGGGGATGCTGGGGAGATTCCTCAAGGGAGTGCCCCAAACCCAACCAATATAGGTTGGTTCCAACTGCAAAGAAAGCAGCAGTAGGCTGGGGAGATAGCTCAGTGGTCTAAGTGCCTGCCTGGCAAGCACAAGGATGTGGGTTTGATCCCTGATTCCATATGCCGTGCCGCCGTGCTGGCCACCGAAACTGAACATGGTGGTGCATGCCTGTAATCCCAGCAATGGGGAGGCTGAGACAGAAGGATCACTAAGAATCCGAGCTGCGTAGCAAGACCCTGTACCAGATAAATAATTAAATAATATATTTTTTTTTATTTAAAAAACAAACAAACAAGACAAGCAGCACCAAGTACTAGGGTAAGAGCAGAAAGCACGGTTTAGGAAAATTTAGGTACAGCTAGCTGCAGCGTCCCTGCCACGGACAGAGAGGTTCCCAGGTGTGTCCCGGGACATAGGTCAGCGGGTAGACTTTACGTGAAGATGTGAGGAATCTGACTCAGGCGAGGACTAGTTTCTTTCAGCTGTAAACTAGACACCGTTTTATCAGTGCAGAGGAACATTCAAAGCGCTAGGCTCAGGCCTCAGGAGGCTGCAGTGCAGGATGTCAAGGTACTCTGTGAGGACACAGGAAGTGGGGGGATTAGAGTGCCTTGCCCTTTACCCCAAGTGGACTGTTTGGATTGGATTTTTATGAATGGCTCTTAAAGTCTCCTATGCCCTCCTCTTTTGTGATGTTCCCAGGGCTGGCAGCACAGTGTGGACTCCCCTGAAGGACCTTACTCCTAAGTTGACAAAGCACTACACACAAATCCTAAACCAAAGGTAAATACAAGTGAATGTTACAAAACCTAAATTCACAAGTTTTAAAAAGCTTTCAAAGCACTTGCCAGGCAAGCGCAAGGACCTGAGTTCAATCCCCAGTTCCGCAAAAAAAAAAAAAAAACCTTTCAGTCCCTCGAACTGGAGTCTCAGAACCTATTTTTGCTTCCTTCCTTTTCATCCTTTCCAAATCCAACGGGTCACTAAGCCTTGACACTCCTCTCTCCTGATGTCTCCAAAGTCCACTCCCTTCCTTCCTCCTCCAGTGTCACTGGCCCCATCAAGCTCTCAGGGTTTCTCTTCTGCACTCTGATTTGCTTAAGGCCTTCCCATCAGCCAAGTAGTAGAACCTTTCCTGCGGAGGCACGGAAACAGCTATCTGCACCTGATGCCTCAGTGTGTATTACAGTTTTAGATTCAACAGTGGCAGATTTTGGTTTGGTGTGATTGAGTTGGGTTGGGTTGGGTTGGGTTGAGTAGGGTTGGGTTGGGTTGGGTTGGGCTGGGCTGGGTTGGGTTGGGTGGGTTGGGTTTGGGTTTTCTGATTTTTTGAGACAGGGCCTCCCTATGTATCTCCAGGTTGGCCTTAAGCTCCCAAGGACCCTCTTGCCTCAGCCTCTGGAGTGCTGGGATCACAGGTGTGAGCCACCAGGCCCAGCTCAGTTTTAGTTTGAACAGCCTACTTATATTATCTTTAATCAATCTTGTTTCATAATATTTTAAATGTAAGCCAATAAAATTGCCTTCTCTATGTCTATTACAAAACTATATATAAGTTGTTAAAATATAAATCTACATCTGATCAATTTTACTAGGAAAAAGCTTTAAAGGACAGATCCCAAAAACTAATTTTTAATATTACTTTGAAGCATTAAGACATCTAAGAAAGCCCTAGGGGCCTTTGAACCTATTAGGCTCTAACCTTATCAGTCACAGGAAGGGGAGAGGGGTGTCTGTGAATTCTATTCTAGTTTCCTAACAAAAACCCAGGGGTGGAAAAACTTCTTCCAAGATCAATGCCCTCACTGCTTTGTAGGACTCCCCAAATAAAACATCTTAACAGTCTGAATCCTACAGCAAGGGTTCCTAAATGCCACTTAAGCCCCTGACCAAGTTTTTAAGGGCTCATAGCAAAAAGAGGAAAAAGAAAATCAATGCATTAAGCTCTGTTCTAAAGCTAAATATCCCAACATAAAGGAGTTACATATTTGCTTTATTCTGAGGTTATATTTGCACTATTTTGGGGGTAGTAAAACATTCTTTCTCTTATAAAATGACAACATACCTGATGAAGATAGGGATTTTTGTCTTTTATATGAAAAGAAGTAATCTTGAGCAAGAACCACAACCTTCTTTTTTAAATTTTAGCAGCACAAGAATTCCACAATTCATAACAGGCATAGTAGAATATACCTGCAATGTCAGCACTCTAGGAAGATGAGACAGACCCTAGCAACTTAGAAAAGTTGGGTCTCAAGTTTAAAAGAAAAAGACTTTTAAAAGAGGAAGAAAATCTAGCTCAATACAAAGAACTTAGGTTCAATTCCCAGTCCTGCAGAAGAAAAAAACAAAAGCCACAATTCTGAGTGCCACTCATCTCACCATTCCCAAATCCTGTCCCAAGTATGAACCCTGGGCCAGCCAGATAGCTCAGCAGATTAAAGCACCTGCTTAGACAGAGGAAGGGGCTGGGAATTCGATCCTCCGCCTGCCATGCCGGCCCTGCCCCTGGGGTGTGCTGAGAGTGCTGAGAAGCCAATTGAGACTGGGCATGGTGGTGCACATCTGTAATCCCAGCCCTTGGGAGGCTGAAAACAGGAGGATCACTACCAGTCCGATCTGTGTAGTGAGACCCTGTAGACCCTGTTCTAAGTACATAAAAATAAAAAATTAAATTAAAAAAAAAAGGTATGGACCCTGATAGGGTTTGCTGGGTCCTCACTATCCTACCAACTCTAGCCCAGTAGTAGTGGCTGCCTAAAGTATTAATTAAGAAAGATCACAAGGCATTGCCTGGCTCAGTGGGGAAGGGGGAAGCCCAGCCAATTAGTGATGTTTGGCATGCATGAAGAGTGGTCACGCACTGGGAAACTAAATGGGCAAGTGACACAGACTGTATCTGACCAGGGTGGTCTAAGACTTGACGGAGCCCATTACTAAAGTCACTTGGTAGAATATAAGTGAAAAGAATTGCATGGCTTGTGAAGTCCTTTATAGACTGTGTCACTGCTGAACACAGAGAAGAAGAGAACAGGGAAATCAGGAAGGTGCTCACTGGTCAGCAGGCCTCGCTCACTACCTCCTGGTCCATGATTCATTCCTGCCTCATTGAAACCTCAGCAAGCTGTGACTGCTGAGTCCCTTACTTCAAGGGTCTGCTATACACCTGGGGAGGGCATTCGGCCAAGTTAGGCTGGTCAAGAAAGGGCAGGGCAAAGGACTCAGAGAACTGACCACTGGGATTTTTTTTCAAAGAAATCTTCCATTTGATTGCACATCAGCAATTTAAAGTCCAAAGATCAACAATATGTAAAGGGAAACAAAAGTACTTGAGCAGTGGGACAAAAACCCAGACTGGCTTTATTGTAGAACTTACAAAGCAGTATTCTCTGCAAACACATATGGGCTGAAGCAACACCCAAAGTTAACAAATTGCA